TAAAGGTAGATATATTGGTGTTCGGAACTACAATGTGATATATCTAAGGGTCGATATATTGGTGTTTTTGAACTAGTATGTGATATATGTGATGGTATTATATTGGTGTTTTTGAACTAGTATGTAATACTGTAGTAGTTAACAGACCAACTAGCTTTGTAAACTGACATGATCAGGAACTGCTCATGGGCAGATATATGTATGACAGATTATGTCACACACTAGTTTACACATTGTCAAATGTTGCAGATCACCTGTGGAAATAGACATTTTCTTCACTGATAACTTGTATATTTTATACATAACTTTGTTGAAATCCCTATTGAATTTAGATTAATTAATAGTTGTGTATTTCAATGCTTCTTTGTAATACTATACTGCTATATTCACAGTGAAAAAAAACAATAAATACCAACCTGCTTGTTCTGATTCTTTAAATTCCCACCAATAACCTTTTGAGGGATAGTACCTGGAGTATGACCGTGCTTCATTGAATGATGACTGGATGTTGTGAGTGGCAGTCAACTGAAAACAAATATAACATAGACTATACTATCAATCATAGCGACAAAATAAGATCATGAAATGACATGACTTTTTAATGTTTTTGAGAGTGGACATAACGGTTTTATTGAACATTGTTTCAGAATAAAACTTGTAAGCCTGTTTTTTTTCAAAGCATCTCAAAAAAAAGACCAACAAAAACATTTATCTTCAGAAACCAGCAGGTTTTATATTCACACTTTTTCAAAATGGCCAACTTTGATTGAATTGAGAATGCTCAAAAGCAAAAGTTCATGGTAATGTGCAGTTGTTTGTTATATCTCTACTCAACTTTCAAATATAGTGGCTACTTCAGACTGCAGTCTAAATTAGGCATTTTACCATACCAATAACAGTCAATAATATGACGTAATATGATAATAATTGATAGAAATCTTACCATTCTAGCATTTAATACTGAACACAAATCTGGTGCTTGATGCACAATACCTGCTATAATATAATAATTGGCTAATGGTGTCACATTTTGAGGTGAATGTCTAAGTTGTTTACGGATGACATATAATATCGGTTCTTGAACATGGAGTAATATGTACTCTATACCTGTCATCTGACTGAAAATGAAACAATACACAGTTTGAGTATACAACAAAATGACACATTGTCACAGTTCTAAACAATTACATGTACAAGGTCAAATGTATAATACAAGGAAACAATTGCATAGCAGTAAAGAGATAACTAGTGAAGCTGAATAAGGTAAACATGATGAAAACCACACTAAATTATCAAGCAGAATATTCCTCTTAGGAGAGATTAATAAACTCCACACAGGAAATTTAAAACAAATTTTACAATGAAAAACTATTTGATGGATGTGAGTAATTCAAATTATAGGAAATATAGTTGAACACAGAATTTGTACAAGATGCGATAAAAACTCATTACATTATGGACTGCTCACGGCACAATGAAATGATTTACAGACTTACAAAGGATAATCCTAATTTTACTTCATTAGTAGCGTTCACATACAGCTCCTTAGCATGGGCTAAGAGGTCAAATACCCTAACCCGTGATAAGAAAACGTGCGTGAACGCTTAGCACAGGCCAAGAAATGTACGGATTAAATCTGGCATGTTTTTAAGACCCAGTCCAGACCCTTAGCATGGGCTACAAAGTGTGTGTGAACACTTAGCTCGGGCTAAGCACCAAAAACGCCATTATATTCAATGTCCATTTGGATGATTAACTATTGATTTTGGCATGCCATTCCCGACATGACAATCAACGCGAGCACATCTACGGACATAATTCTTGAGAAAAAATAAAAAACTGAAGATTTTGTATATTTTTAATAAGTTTGGGCGTTCCTTAGCCCATGCTAAGTACTGTTCCTTCCCGTGCATGGACGCAATTCGGTCTATCCGATATGCAAACATACAAGATATACTAAAATGTAGCATGAACACCAGTTGTGAATCATTCTGATAAATTTGTTTACAATATGACAAACTACCACATGTGTTTAAAATGCAAACAGGTGTCTATTAGCTAAAAAAAAAAAAAAACACATTTTTAGCTGGTCACCTTGCTCACACACAGGAGGCTACAGCAAATTACAACATAGAAATCAAATGTGTTTTTTTTTGTTTTTTTATACCCACCCACATTAGAAATGTCAATTTATTTAGCGATATATCTCTGATAATACTCACTTTAGCTGCTCTGGATTTAACCTCTGCATTTTTACTACTTCATTATTACATGTTCTGTCATAAAAAGGATTACTACGCTCTGAGAAATAATCCATGACATTACTTGGATTCAATACTGGAATCCAGGCACTATCATACCACGATAAATGTAGTGGATTATCTGAAATAAAACATTGTTTGTATTTAGACACCCATAATAAGGATTCACCATGACGATGACAGAGGTGTAGATAAATGAATGCTCATAATATGTGGAATATGAGAAATCATCACATTAAACAAAACAATGAATGAAACTTTACAAGTAAAATACATATACCGGTAATTCATTGGACACAAACATGTGCTTGTCAATCTTCAAATGGATCTTTCTAGATTAGGCCAACTAAGAAAATATGTGTTTATTGCCTACCTTAAAATTTTTGTAGTCAAACAAGAAAAAAATTCACAAGATTTCAAAGTAAATTTGAGTAAATTTCACCATGTTTAAACACAGGGGCAAGTAAAGCCATTAATGTTGAACTCATTGTCAGCCCACGAATGTCCATGAGATTTATATCAGAACCATGGACCTAAGTACCAACAGTGTGTCAGAACTGACCTCCCACATCACACTTCTGTAAACCACATAGAGGCTGCAATCAATGTCAAGTTATCATGAAAACGAATGCACTACTATTACTGCTATTGGGATAAAAAAAAAACGTGAATCAGTCCACTTTTTTCAAGACTAATGAATCTGGCATATCGAAATAACAGATTATGAATACAAATGTATAATAGTACCCCGGTACTAGTAAATCTTCAAATGGACGTTGAATACATTGTATTAAATGTATTAAAACTAAGTGAATAATCAATGCAAATAATGGCGTGGATACAAAACTATAGTGATTAAACCATCATTGCCAAGGCGGTAAGAAGACAGTCATGCGGTACCGTATGGTAGCACTCGTCGATCACATGCCCTACGTATCCATGTAGCGATGTGCTGATCGGGCGAACTACTGGATAATGCCTCCAGACACATCGCCTGGCCGTATTTAGATACTACCCCCCCCCCCCCCGACACATTGTCCATACAGGCGCTGACTACGCAAGGCTGTGAATCAAAGACAATTGATGGCAAACAAATTTGCTCTGGTTATCCTATGGCATTGGTGCCATTCGAATAATTGTAAGTTAACTATGGTCGTCCAGAAAATCCTTAAAATTGCATAATATGCGTGTATATAAAAATAACCAACCCTTGTCTTGGTTCTGTATTGAAGCCTGTCCTTGTCCTGTTGTTGTATTACTCGCCGACGCCATTTTGAATTTACGACAACACTCTATAATTGTTAGGGGTTTCCCCCGGAGCTATGACGTCACTTTAGGAATTCCCTACACGTCAACGCCTGTGACACTGTGACATCATAAATAAGTCCATACATGGAGCTAAAAACTTAGCTCCACGGCCCATCCAAGAGGGCTGCAGGCTGCGTCTAGGGTCTAATTGATAGCTGTTAACTGTAATGTATTACATGTTTCGTGGAATGTGTAATAGTGTGAACATATTTTTTATTCAAGAGTTATAATTCCTCGGAATCCATTTGAAATAAATGATTCATCAAAGTGAAAAGTGTATTGTCTGTACCTGTAAAAATATGCAAACCGATAACATGAAGACTTGTCTGCTCGGGGATATCCAATATTTGCTGAGAATACACGGAAATTCAATAAAAAATACGTTGGTTTCCATTTTTGCACTTTATAAACGCATAGAATATAGATTGTCGACAGCTAGAACCCTCCCCCGGGGGGGGGGGGGGCTACTTCCATAGAAGTGCAATACGGGTATGTGCCGCCCGACTGGGGTGTCATTTCACGTTATTTAGTTTAGAAGTGGGTAGCCGTTTATCAATGGTTTGGTTTAGAAATGTGTAGCATTTATTTACTTTTTCACAGATCCTTATATTCAAAGCCAGATGCTGGAAAAGGCTGAATAAAATGCATTGCCCGGATGCAATCATCGCAACGGAAATACTTGCAGATTCGTGGCGGATATAAAAAGTTGATTTTATGTGACAAGTGCACGAGTTCGCAGATACTGAAACATTGGCATAAAGCAATGATTACTATTTACATAGAATTGAACATAAAATAAACCACGTGACTTATACGATCACGACACATGGTCCGGGGTCCAGCGGCCCGGCGTAGGCGTGGAATTCCCAAACATATATTACTAAAGTCTTTATAACAGTGTAGAACCTCATTTAAACCTGAGACATCGATGCCAGCTCATCTCCAAACTACCCCAGCTATACCCAGGCTGAACTGAAGCGATGAAGATACTGGTTACCACGTTAGGATTAGTACTCGTTACTAGTATTCAACTTGAATGTAAGTAACATTCTTCGGCAGTTACAATTGGACGACTCACGTTATAAACTTAAAGGATTTTAATATTCAACATTTTATTTTATTCATGACAAGGTATACATTGTTAATATTTAATGCAACGGGTGGAGGGGATGTGGCACAAGCTTCATTTGTGTATAGCATAAAGGGGTGGGTAGTAAGAGCCAGCTGATATTTACAGCGGACGCAAACGAGATTCGTACGGGTAACATGTAAATTACCTTGGAAAGACTTCATGTTCCAATAACCTTACCAACTTCCCCCATACCGCAAATAAGATTCGTACGGATAACTTACAATAACCTACTATAGTCTTACCTCCATAGCAATATATATACAAAACAGACACCAGCTTAGCTATAGTAAGTACCTAGACAAACATTAATTGCAAGTAAGACTGTCACAAAATGTAGCAAATCGTTTTCATAACATAGATCATTTGATAGCGCCAATAAATAAAGGCCCTCGCTATATTGCAATATTCATAGGGCTTTTCCTTTGCTAGCTCCTCGTACAAATATTGCTGATTGGATGTATTTTAACTATCTCGTAAATATCACGATGATATTTCAATACTATTTCTGGATTGGTCAATTTAAAATATAGCAGCCATTTTGATTTATATAAACTTATAAAGCTGTTATAACGTACCCACGTGTCTGCCCACTTTGTACTGAAAAAATAAAATGTAAACAAACAGTTTTGGATATATGTGAATTTGATGAAAAAAATAGCCCTCTCAATTTCAAATGGTCAACCCTTGATCAGTTTTCATAATTTAATTGCTTTTATATTCTGCTAATGTAATCCAGATTTTCGGGAATAAGGTTTTGTAATAATATTACCACTACCACTAGTCACGTTATAAGTGTATATAAGAGTACACTGTCATGCGGTATTGTAAACAATCACTGACTCACGGAGAATACTGTGACAACAGTAAAAAGAAACCGAAAATCAATTGCAAAGACGATTGTATAACTCAACGTCACTATATGATAGGACAGAGCAGTAAACATGGATAAAAATAGGCTGGTGGGCGTACTAGAAACAAATACGTTCGTAACGGATTTCCCATTTGAGAACACAAGGAGGTGAACATAAAATACTGTACTAGTATGTGGTCGGAGTAGCTCGATGAACTGGGGTGCTCACTTACTATATGTATAAAAAATAATTTAACTGCAGTATATGTGTATTAAACAAATGTACCCGACATTGTACTAGCATATAGACTATTCTGATGTGTTTATGACTTACATGGCTTGTACTTCTTTCTACATAATAAACGAGCCGCCCAACAAGTGACAAGTTCATGCCAGTTAATTGTTTTGTTGTATTTGCAAATATCTGATACGGAGAGAATGCCAATTGTATATTGTTGCGTAGCATTTGACTCAAGGAAAACTACTATAACTAGTAGTACCCAAACGTGTAGATTTTTTATGTTAGTTTGGAGCAAATGAAATTATTCATATGATCTATACTCACAAGCGACACCGTTTAACTGCCCACTAATACAGAATTTAATTAAAAAAAACATACATAAAACTAAACAGAAATTAAACAGAAATTAAACTAAACAAAATAAAATAAAATACAATAAATTTACTTATTCAGTTTTACGAAATAGACGGAACTTGAAGTAGGTTGGAAAGGTGTGCATGGCATATTTTTATAGAGCAACATTTATTTCAATAGAATAGAATAGAATAGAATAGAATAGAATAGAATAGAATAGAATAGAATAGAATAGAATAGAATAGAATAGAATAGAATAGAATAGAATAGAATAGAATCATTTCTATTTTGTCTCTAGTGCCAACTGAAGCGTTTAAACAGTATGAATCTTTATTTGTTCTTAATGGCCACCGGCCCATTTCACAAAATAAATACATAACAATTCTTTTCTGAGGTCAAAAGTCACCTCATGTTAATACATTCTTTTATGTACAAACATTGCTAGTTTTGTGATTATTTGGTCAGATTTATTTGACATAATTGAAAAACAATTCTAATGTTGGATAAGTATATGATCATGAGGGTAATCATGTTTTTCTAATGTTTTCATACATAGGGCATTTTAAAACGAGGTGGAATTCATTCTCTATTTCAAGGGATTCACATATTTTACATATTCTCTCTTCTACCTCCAGTCTCACAAATCTACCCTGTTCTATTTCTAGCCTATGACTAGAGCACCTGATACAAGCAAGAACCCTTTTTAATTTATCAATTTCTACACAATACAAATATACTTCTGGGTGATGCGTTTAAAAGAGTTAAACGTTAACGGCGATCATTTCACCATTATGGGCATTTGAATGTGGGTGTTTGTGCTTTAAAGACTTAATTATAACTGTAACCACAAACCGCAATTATCACAGAGCCACGGGCATACAATGACTGAAACGCGCTAGTAATGTAATACAATACGTGACGAGACGCAACAAATTACGATAATTATTTCTATGAGTGGCACAATCGTAGGTGACCCATACGTTGACCTTGACATGGTGCCTCAGAATGTACCATTTCAAAGTGAAAGTTGTTTACAATGTCGTCATCGTAGTTGTTATGAATATGACGATGTCGAATGCCTTGTCATGGGAATCCCAAATGTTATTTCCTTATGCTATATATAAATCAGAGCCTGATATACTAGTAAATGACACTTTACTGCAGAGTTTCTAATTGCGCCGTACGTAGGACAGCTTCATTCGTTGATTCGCGCAGACTCTAAACTCCCGTAGTTTTAGGGACTTTAATTATATCTCACTATTTATCTCAAAGATGGAAAAATGTTTCATTGCACTGGTAGCATTAGTAGTCACTGTTTTCCAAGGTTAGTATACTCCAGTCGTATTTTTTTACTAAATATTGTGATACAACAGGTGTCTTTTGTTTGTTACACAACACGATATCAACTTTGTACCAACTTCATCCCCTAATAACCTGATTTCCACTTTGATCCCGATACGATAGTAAATCCGCGATTGTAAGATACAAATATTCGATTACCACGAAAGTGACTTTTTTTTTACTTTGAATAAGATGCAAATGTATATACGGCCATTTAAAGCGAACATTAACGGCAATTGTTGCATTCATTACCAGTTACTAAGGTAACGACGTTCCGGAAATAGTCCACGATGCCGTCATTGGGAAATTTTGCGGCTCGTTTGACCATTTCCGTGTCAAAGGTCAATAATATACAATAGTATTGGTTGCTCAGATATTCAGCAATGTAAAAGTAGAAATACTCACTGGTTTATTTTAACAGATTTGATGTTAGAGGAATATTCACTAGGTTTTAAACGCACTATTAAGTGGAGGAAACAAACAATCGTAATTTTAATACGTAGTGCGTTTCAATTTGTTGTATTTTGTTAGGACTAGTTACAACCAGTTTCACAACACAATACAAACTGACGACATTAGACTCATTCTTTGTCCCAGGGTTCTTTGCACTTTCGTCACATGACAAAATCACTGTACTATAACTCAGCCAATGTGCATTATTATTCTAATTATTATTATCATTTTAATTATGTCGAACCATACAACTTTGTATATTTGAAACAAAAATAACATAGTTTAACTATTACAACCTTACCCAGTATGTAAAGTAACAAGCATGGATTTTTGATTAACACAAAACAGACTGGTTGCTGCTCCTGTCAGGAGATATGCCAAGGGTTTCTATTAATACTTGTATACTTACATTTTTCATCCCATATATGTAAGCTCAGAGTAATAAAGTTCTATATTCATATTGTGTAATGAAAATCCTAGTCGTCTGATTGGTTCATGCAGATTGAACTTTAGACATTATAGCCGACTATTGCAAAATACAGCATTATTTCAATATGTTGGTGGTTTTACAAAATATTTCTTAGATAATTATTAAATATTATATTTGGTAGTTTCAGATGTCAGCTACACATATGTGATAACAAGATGTATACATTTGAGAAATCTTTACCTTTACTTTCCTGCTTGTTTGAATTTATTCCAAAATTAGTAATTATGTTAACAATGCATCCCCAAATCCCTCAATATAGTGATGGCTCTAAAAAAAACCTTCTTAATCACAATAGGGCAATCGGAGAAACCAGCGTTTATAAATGATGATCTTTCCTGCAAATGAGCCAGGTTGCACCACAATGTATTAAATACACGCTAACAAATCCTTGTTTTTAGCTTTTGCTAACTACAATATGGGTATACATGGGATGTAAAATTTGTGATTCTACAATATCAGAATTAATAAAGTCTTTTGTGGTCATTTTGAAATTTACTATGTATGCAAGAGTTTAATAAATCTGATATTGTAGGGTCACTCATGAGATGACCTCTTTGTATCTTCAGTAATATACTTTACTGTATACCAATCCATGGGTGACAAAGCGTCTTCCATAAACCCACCTACATTCTGTATTATCAATCTTAACAATTTCCTAACAAATAAAGTAAATACACAAAGGAGGACTTGTATTTCACATTTATTTTTCTTAAAGGTTCCTTGGCTACTTCCTGCAGTAATAATGAGAGAAGGTGCTATAAAACAAGGCCAGGCACATGTTTACCAATTGAAACACTAGTGTGCTATAACCCTAATGATGAGTTGTGCTGTTGTGGTGTACTATATGTTGCAGAAAGCAACATTGAATGCTGTAAGTACAAGAGTCTCTGTATACATTCATTTCACTTTATTTTGAGTGCATTCCAAAGTAACATTAATTAGCTTAATTCTAAAATTGGTACTCACTACAATATGGACATCCATTTTTGCATAATTTGTTAAACATGCATAGTATACTAATATATTGTTCTGTTCAAGTATTACACAAACAACACTGATCTGACGTGTTAGCATGTTTTATTACTTCTACAATAATGAATAAGGATTACTAATATGTAAATCACCAATTATCTCATATGCACATTAGCACACAATCCTGATAATTTGACGCAAATATCTCTTAAATACATGTATGAAATGGTCACACCAGATTCATGGACAGAAAATCAACAACCATTCCTGGAAACTAACTTGAAAAAAAAACAGCTGCTGATACACGCTTTTTCTGACAATTCAGTAAAATTGTTTACAACCACCTGCTAGCATTAATATAGACAAAATGAAACTCGAACTGCATGCTGAGCAAGGTAAATTTATTCTGACAGTAAACCTTAGTATAATCTCTATTGCAGGCAACAACTCAACCTATGATGTTACTACCCACAAATGCTGTGGAGGACAACTACAAGATGTCAATTCTGTTGATGAGTGTTGTTTTGATTACTATGGTGATACTGGTTCTTTTTACAATCCTAACACACACCAATGTTGTGCCAACATAGTAGTGGAAAAACAAAAAGGTATTTTCTTCATTCTTCAAACAGTTCTGAAAATGAACAGAAAAATGTTTTAATATTTACATTCATCCCCTGTTACATTTGATAATCAACTGGCAGTACAGAAAGACACATGTGTCATGTGAATAATGATCACATTTTCCTGGCAATTACAGATTACATTTACTTCTGACTTTGGACATGGTCAGATCTTGCAATTAGCAGATAACATTTATTTCTATGAAACATTTTGTTTTGTCCCTGGCTTATGTCACTATTCAATAAGCAGGCATATAATGAGATGAAACACAATGTCATCAGTTTTTCTTTTCGTCATCACGTATGTCCAACAATTTGCACCACACGTGGGCGGTACAATGAGCAAATGTTTATAGGGCATGTATTCAGAAAACATGTGTTCTTCTTGAGCAATACCGGTACTTTGCAAATCCCAGTAGATATGTTAATTCTTTTATGCATGTATTCAAAACATGGAGGTATGTGAGGGGATCAAAATCGGTACTATCAAGCCACTAGAATGGCTTGAAAATCATTGCCGTCTATGATTTTACATTTTTAAAAAGCTTGAACTCAGAATGGTGCACAGTATGAATTTTCTCGTTGGTGCAGAATACGACGCAGAATGGTGGCGCACAATGCTTATTTTGGGAAATGCGCTGGCGCATTCCGGTGGCGCAGAGTACCAATTTCGAGCCTCACACATACCTCAAACATGTATTTAATGAATGTTTAACATTGTTGAACTACTAAATATTAAAATTTATTAAAATACAAAACATATATGATGATGATCAAGATCTGCAGCAATGGGAAATGATATGCCTTTGGTCTAAACTTAAGTGAAAAATTGTAGAAAAATACATACGGTAATGAGCAAAATGTCGTACAAAAATTTGGGTGGAAAAAATGATGGCACTCAAAAGATTAACAACAAAAAATGAGATTTCATTTTGCAATACACAGATTTTGAATGCTGTGGGGTTTCTACATACAACACAAAATTGCAAACTTGCTGTAGAATTGGCAGTAAACTCAAGGCAGTGGAGGGCCCTGGTGGAAGCTGCTGTGGCAATATTTCTTACAATCCAGCCGACCAGATGTGTTGTTCTGATCCCAATAACAATACAAGATTACATACAGTTCCAAAACAAGAACAAATACATAGACAATGTTGCTATTTGGAAGAGTACAATATGGATGATGAGCTCTGCTGCAATGGGGTATGTGTATGTTTCCACTGTACTATAACTAATGAAAGCTGCTGCTATATTTCAAGCCAAACCAATAATAAATACAGTATTATTATAGTATGTATTCAAAAACTGTTATAATATTATTATCCACATTTCAGATAGTAATTCAGAAAGATCGAAACTCAAGAGAAGGATGTTGTGGATCAAGCAAATACAATGAAAACCTACAAATATGCTGTGAAGACAAGATTGTATCAAACTCAAATGGTAGAACTGCATGCTGTGGTAAAATGTCTTACAACCAACAGACTGAAACTTGCTGTGGCAATCAAATTTTTTCCATACGTAAGTAAGCATACAAAAATTCACAATCTCTTGGATCCTGGACACACAATAATTCACAATCGGCAATCTCCATAATGCTGGGCACGCATTATCATTTTACTACACGTTAAGTTTTTATATATACTAAAAGGAATATTATAGGAGTAATTATAGCAAATCTTGTATTTCTTTAGCTGATGGTGAATGTTGCCGTGGTGAAGCATATAATCCTAGACAGGCGTCATGTTGTGTTGCATCAACAAAGTCATCACTATCGTCTCATATCAATCACTACTTACCATCAATAGATGGCACTACACGATGCTGTGGTTTAGAGTCTTATCTCAACAATGAACAACTATGTTGTGCTGCTACAAAGCTTCACAACAAAGCTCCATTTATACAATGTTGCGGTGAAGGTAAGAACAATATCAACTTCTAAGATTAGTGGCATATTTATAAATGATATATGTTAAGTCAATTTATCAAGTTAGAAATACCAGAACCAGAAAAAACATTTTGTCAACAAGTCGTTGTCAATAACAAGTTACTGTGTATTCACAGAGGATGGAGAAAAATATAAATTATAATTAAATGTATTCACAGCATGAAAACATGCTAACCACTGACTTAAAGACTACAGACAACTTTCTTGAACAAAATTGATCAAAGTACATCTGAAAAATGATAAAACCAAAATGGTCATCAGTCAATCTGATTAAAATCAGATGTAGGTATAGAACATAATTTTTTTTATATAATTTTTTTTATTGTTATTCTTGTTTATGACCATTTGTAGTTTCACTCGCCATTATTAAATTATTGCTATTGTTTTTATATTATATCTCAATTTTTCCTGTTTTTATATAGAATATAAACAAAACATAAGTCTCGTTTCAGACTTAATCTGACTGGTACTAAGGGAATGACCATTTATTATTCCTAGGGGGGCAATTCTCTGTGCTTTTTCAAAAAAATTAATGGACCCCTTTTATTCATTTCGTAAAAGAGGGTGCACCCCTTTAGAAAAAATGAAAAATTTGTTACCCCCTCTATATATATTTTTTTTGTTCAAAAAAGGCGTAATGTAAAAAAAAAAATTGTGTCTCAATCTTTAAAAGAAAATATGGCTTTCAAAAATATGCTGACCCCTCCTGTTTTGCCCGATCCCCTCAGGAATAATAAATGGTCATTCCCTAATGAGCTACAAACCTGAGATTAAGATTTTTACTAATTAGGTCAAACAATCAATTGATTGAAGTAATTTACTAAACTATGTAACATAATGATTCTTACAGATACATACAACATCAGCACAGAAATCTGTTGCAATGGAACAAAGTATACAAAGACATTGGATTTTCTGGGGTGTTGTGGAAATACCCCTTACAACATGAATGAAACGTTCTGCTGTGGTCATTCACAACAACCGTTTTCATTGAATGATGGTGATGCTTGTTGTCAAGTTAACAGCAGTCATGGAATAATTATTAAACCTTATCATTCTGATCAGGAAATATGCTGTGATGGTAAGTAGTGTTTTATGACATAGAACTAGAAATTCAATACTATCTGAAAACACTAGAAAATGTTGAACTATATGAACAAAATTCCATTAGGGAACCATTGTTTGAAATTGAAACAGGTAGACACACACAAAGCGAAATTACAACTGGAAACAAGGTTTGTAATTCTGTGGAATAGAAATCTATTGATGCAATTGTAAAAAATAGTTGTACATTGCAATTGTCATCAAGATCAAAATAAAACCAGTTGCAACCCATGTCAAGTTTTATTAGTAATAAAATGTTACTGCATGAAAAACACAAAATTTACTAGGATGCAAACAATACATACAACCTTACTCCATGTTGTAACTTACAAAAAATGCATTGACAGATGCATTATAAACCTTGGACAATATAATGTAAAATACTTTATTTTCGCTTGGAATTTATTTTTGCTATTTTCGCTGAAGGGAATATACTGTTTTTTCTATATTTTACATTGAACTTGTTAAAAATCAGTGAAAAATTAATTCCAGCTAAAATAAAGTATTTTACAGTAAATCACCTGATATTACATAATGTGATCTGATAATACGTAAACCAATCTGTGCCTATCATGGTACAAAAAAATAAGTACCATGTAAATGAGACCAGTGTTAACAAACTGATTTTATACACCTGTCATGGTAAACGTGGAAACATAAGTTGAAATTCAAGGCCATCGCTGAAATACAGACTATATTTTGATTACAGGCACACTAGAGAGTCAAGAAATAGATAAACCCAAAAAATGCTGTGGTTCATACGTAATTGACAATCATAGGACAATATGTATGGACAATGCATATCCTATTGTGAAAATACATACCAAAGATAATAGGGTGTGTCCTGTAAGATATGGCCAGTATGAGAATGCACAGACCTATAACGATAGATTTCAGGTAAGAAAATACAGGCATCTGTATGCCTTTCAATATCACACTGTTCTGTTTTGGGCAAAGGAGATTACCATGTTCAATTTTATACACAGCTACTTAAGGGGGTTGGTTAATATCCCCCTCGAAAAATTATACAAACAAAAATTATAGTTCACCACATGCCAGGTTACGGGGAATACTGCACATAGTGTAAATTGAATGTGTAAAGAAATATTTAACATGTCATTGGCAAACCGCAATCGATATCGTAGTAATTTTATCATTTATAATCAGAAAAATCAAACAAAGTCCAAATACCAGGTTTTATGCCCCAGCCAGTCATATTTGGAACATACCAGGGGGAATGGGATCACAAAAACAGAAATGTCCCAAAGTTGGGGAAGAGCCAGTAGTCAAGCATGGGCACAAACTGCTTTGACAACCAGAGCGCATCGCTTGTTATTTTGACTGCCTGGATTGCTACTTCTATTTTTACTGATATATTACATCAGATAATAGTTTATTTATAATTGCTACATTATCTGTGTTTCCTTAGCTAAATAGATAGCTAAATTTAAATATATAATAAAATTTGGTAATTGCATAATTTATATAAATACTCTTCTATTAGAGTAAATTTTAATATTTTATTTGTGTTTGAGTGAAAATAAATCCAAACAAGAGAAAAACTTGCATTCTTATTGATCTGATCACCTTTATTGCATTTTACACCAGTTTTGTAGAAGTATTTATAAAGTCTTATAAATTTATAAAATATATATGTATTGCTACATTAGCGAAGTCAATATGATATTAAAGTTGGTAATAAATTTTATTCAGGTCTGCCGTGATGGTGCTCTCAGAAACATACAACCAGAAGATAAGAGATGTGGAGCAGATGTCTACAACCCAAAAAATAAAATCTGCTGCCATGAAAGTTTGACGATTCATGATAGATTTGATGATGATAAGCATGAAAGGGTTTGTTGTAGTCCAAATCAAGTATTTACGCCAGAGCATGAAGTCTGCTGTCATGGCAAAGTAACTGGTCCGATTGAACAAGCTAATCAACACGGCAGGTAAATCAGATAAATTAGTTTGAAAGTACATTATTGATATTGACATCTTGAAGTTGTTCAATTGTTAGGATTTGTTGTTATCAAGAAATCTATTTTACCATATATGAACATTGACCTGCTTAGTTTTTTATCATTTTCAAATAATGTTGATTTCTCTGCTAATAAGCATCATCTCAAAACAAACTAGAATCTTTATAACCTGTAAATCTGTCTAAACTGGCCTAACAATATATAAACTGGAAATCTGTCTAAACTGGTCCAACAATATATAAACTAACTGGCCTAACAATATATAAACTGGAAATCTGTCTAAACTGGCCTAACAATATATAAACTGGAAATCTGTCTAAACTGGCCTAACAATATATAAACTGGAAATCTGTCTAAACTGGTCCAACAATATATAAACTGGACATCTGTCTAAACTGGCCTAACAATATATAAACTGGAAATCTGTCTAAACTAGCCTAACAATATATATAAACTGGAAATCTGTCTAAACTGGCCTAACAATATATAAACTGGAAGTCTGTCTAAACTAGCCTAACAATATATAAACTGGAAATCTTTCTAAACTGGCCAAACAATATATAAACTGGAAATCTGTCTAAACTGGCCTAACAATATATAAACTGGAAGTCTGTCTAAACTGGCCTAACAGTATATAAACTGGAAATCTGTCTAAACTGGCCAAACAATATATAAACTGGAAATCTGTCTAAACTGGCCAAACAATATATAAACTGGAAATCTGTCTAAACTGGTCCAACAATATATAAACTGGAAATTTGTCTAAACTGGCCAAACAATATATAAACTGGAAATCTGTCTAAACTGGCCAAACAATATATAAACTGGAAATCTGTCTAAACTGGCCTAACAATATATAAACTGGAAGTCTGTCTAAACTAGCCTAACAATATATAAACTGGAAATTTGTCTAAACTGTTCTAACAATATTATATAAACTGGAAATCTGTTGAAACCAACCTCTAGTCTTTTCTTCAGTTAGCTTACATATATCCAAACACTCTAATTGATTATTTTCTTTGACAGTTGTTGTAATGGAAGGGATGGCTTTGACACGCGTACTCACATTTGTGTAAGAAGAACTGGTTTGATAGCCAAAGATAAATATCATTCGTTTTTAGATGTGTGTGGAAATAATAATTTCTATGATACACGGACTCAGAAATGCTGTAAAAATGGAGAGATTTATGGAGACGGACAAACTTGTTGTCATCGCCGTGTCTACACTACACCAGGAACAACCATAGACAGTGGTGAATGTTGTGGAATCAATAATATTGGTTACAATCCCAATACTCATATTTGCTGTGGTAGAGAGGTGTTTCCTAAAAATGGAACAGGTATGTCTAATAACAATTAATTAATCCATGCAGAATTGACATACAGACATTTATCACTTGAAATATGTCGATTTTGTTGTCATGGGATGTGGCAACTAAGTTAAGAGCAAAGCGGGCAGGGCGTAGGTGCAAGACTTACATAACTTGATGATTATATGGCCAACTATTTTTAAGCGACATATCTATTAACATGCTACTAACTAGATTTTAACTAAATAAATCTGACATATGGAAAATGATGCTTACTAATAAAACAGAAATTTAGGATGGGTAGAATTGTACATGTACACAGAGATGATACCAGGTACCGGTATATTTGAATCATTAAGATATCAATCAACAGAATAATTTAAGTAATGATGTGTGGGGTGCAATGTTGTACCTCTATAGTTTCATGTATACATTTACTTTACATGTGTAAGATTGACCAGTATGCATTCTTGTTTATATTTATATATGAATTTATACCAGTAATTGTATTGAATTATATTGGTGCCCATCAGTCTAAATTATCCCAGTGTTACACAAATTGTATAATTTGAAATAGACCATTTGCGGGGTTTCATATCATGTGGTATTTTTGTTTGAATACATCATAAGTGTCCATCATTTTGTCATCCTTGTTTGTAATTGGTTGTTAGGATGCAACTAAATCTTCCCCTGAGTATTTCTTTGACATAATACTAAGTGTCTGCAGGAAAACGTTTGTATTAGAGCAACATCAACTCCTGTAGCCTGGTTACATCACCAAAATGCAGTTTCTGTGATTCATCTATTGATTTACTGATTCATCTATTCTGTGAGTGTATAGTTGTGAAGACTTTCTGGCAAACTATTTCGGGGCGTTTCGCTCATCTGCCCGCCCTTAGTAATATGTCCAACCAAAATATTATTATTGGAAATAAGGATTTTTCGAATATAACAAATCATATTATTCTTCTAGCTAAACGCCATATCTACTTTTCTAAAATGAGAAATAAAAAACCTTTTTTCCATGGATGTCTATATCTCCAGGCAAATTTATAATATAGAAAAAGAGATAGCAATAGGGAGAGGCAAATTAGCGAAGCACACTGACAAATGGGAGTCCTTTAATATGCTGTGACATTGACATACCGGTACCCCCTTTTCTTTTCTCTCTTTACTTTATACTCGTATTCTTATAATTATCTCATTACCATGGTTTTCGTGTGGAAATTGTACTCTTTTGATGGGATGATTTTATATATTTATATATGTGGTTAATGTAAAAATAAAATAAAATATAAAAAAAACAAAAAAACAAAACAAAAAAAAAACATGAACTCCTGGTAATGTTCTGTTGATTGTACAAATTTAGACAAATGTGAATACATATAAGTTGACAGTGTGCAATAGATTAGATTCAGTAGATTCCGAAATTGTGAAAACAGTACCTAATTCTTGTTTCTTCCTATTACAGAGCTTTCATGTTGTGAAGGTCAATACTCCTATCGAGTATATGATGAAAACTACATGATTTGCTGTGATGGTGTGCTGCATGGTAGGAAGTATGGCACTAACCAAGTTTGCCAGGGTACTATGGCATACACACCAAATCAACAAACAATATGTGATGGTCAGATATATCCATACCCATATGCCAATTGTTGTGCTAGTCAGATGTATAACCCTGATAAAGAACTGTGCTGTGAAGGACAGGTTTACCAAAAGAAAAATGATGGAGAGTGTTGTGGAAATCTAGTGTATCGCCCTTCAGATCCAACGCAGCATTGCTGCAATAACAGACTCAATATTGGCTCTCAAGAGTTAAAATGTTGTGGTAATTTTCTAATCAACTCCACGATGCAAGAATGCTGTATGCCACAAGATGATCCAGATTGGGCACATGCTTATCCACGAAAACATGGACACAAATGTTGCAACCACATCTATCATGATCCTGACAAGCATACATGTTGTGGTTCACACATGATAACTGATCATGATAACTACATGTGTTGTGACATGGAAAAAAGATGGAAGCGGTTCGGTGAAGCCTCTCAGTGTTGTGGTTTTCAAGTGATTGATTCTAGCAGAAAATCTTGCTGCAATGGGGATATAATAATTGACAACAATTACGAAGAATGCTGTGATGGTCAAAGAATTCATAAGGATGAGTACAAATGCTGCAACAATAGTAGACTCTGTATCAAGGACTACAACCAAATGTGCTGTAATGATGTGCTTTATGATCCTGATGTACATCAGTGTCGCAACAGTATGCTGTATGAACGCCTGACTATGCAGTTATGTAATCAGCAACCATATGATACCTCCAAAGAAGGATGCTGTGGTGGAAAGATCTATAAACTAGATGACGAAACAATGGGATGCTGTAACAATGAAAAGCAATTTAATATACACATTGATACCTGTCTACAGAATCAAGTTGTACCAAAGAAGGAAGTCAAGCAATGCAATGGTACTCTGTTTTGGATTAATACACATCTCTGTTGTGGTATGGAACTTCACCCAAAGAACAATTCACAGTGCTGTTCAAACACTATATTCGATTCAAGGAGTCAGACATGCTGCGACAAGACCATCCTTAATTTGAATGACTCAACCCATGCATGTTGTTCAGGCAGAGTGTACAATCCCAAACGCAAGATTTGTTGCAGTAACAAATTAACTCGTATAAAGGATGGTATGACTGAGTGCTGCAAGAGAAGCAGCTACAACCCAGAAACTCATATCTGCTGCAGAAACAGACTTAAGTTGAAAACAGAGAATATAGGATGCTGTGGAGACAAACTTTACAACACCACAAAATATGTTTGCTGCAATCAAAAGCTAAATCGATTAATGTCCAGAGAAGACCACAAAATGAGATGTTGTGGAAGAGGCATATATGATCCTACCAGAGAAACCTGCTGCAAGGGCAAGGACATCAATATTAATGAGAAGTGTTGTGGAGATGATGAGAAGTACAATAAAATGACTGGTGGATGTGACAGTCGCCCAGAGAAGGTGCCAATTGATAAAAGTAATTTGTAGTAGTCATCTTTCTTTCAATTCGATTCATACTTTATCACCAACATCACATTTTCTTTGGTTCCAGTGTCAGAATGATGCATTTTTTTTGCTCACACTGTGCAGCACATGGGTTTACTACTAGTATCTACTGCTTTCTTTTACTGTCTAGCTCAAATACTGGTTACCTCAATCTGAGTACGAGTCTGTCTGCATTTGCAATGCAATTACTTGGTAGAACGTCTAGTCTGCACAACTACATTTGCAATGCAAGCACTTAGAAGGTTTTGTCTGTAGGACTGATCAATTTATTAAACCTCTAAGTGATAATTTAATTGTATATTATTGTGTGACAGAATAAGCAATTAAATGCTAACAAAAGTTTCATATAACATTAACAGGTTAAAGATCAACATATATGCACCTTTTTATACAACTATTACACTACAATGAGGGGATTAATAGAATTTGCATTCGCTATAACAGAGCAGGACTTACATGTTTAGTATCAACCAGTAATCCAAAATACGGATTTCAGTATTTTATTAATTTGAGAATTGCCTTTTGAAAACGGCTTGATAACTTAGAAAGTAGCGTTCATATAAACATATTAATGTTATATGGCAAATAGCCGTGCAACTACTGTTGCGAAAATCTGTATGCTTTCAAAAATAAATTTGAAACTGACTTCAGACATGCTAAAAACTTCTCGTACAACAAAATAAAATGCATACTAGACACCACACAGAGTAATTAAAACATTATCACCTCCTTAAATACCAATATATTTACACTATTTTTTTTATTCATATTGTCTTGTTTTTAGATTCGTGTCCAGCGTCTGGGCCTAACATCATTCCCAAATGGACAACACTAATATGGGGCAAAGTGGAGAAAAAGTGTGAAGAAGGGAAGGACCTGAACATCAACATTACCTTTGACACTCAAAGCATTGTGAATTTGACTAATAAAACTGTTCAAAGTGAGACAGCGGCCAGTATAAAAATAGTACTGCCACTGAAAAAATCAGTGAGCATTGTGGTGGGAGAGTTTTATCTCATATGCAGTGAGAATCAGATCAAAGAGGGGGTACTACAATTCAAATCATCAGATTTCATCAAGAGTCATGTAAAAACAGACGAGAATTATTGAAATATTGAATATTAAATAGCCAAGTAGACCACTCGGGTAAACATTGGGTATGCATGCTTGAATAAGTAGAACATAATATGACCTAGCACATTTGGTAATTTGTACATTTAGGAGTAAAATTTGCAATCAAACCAGAAATCTCCTCAGAAAACAAAATCTAACTTTTTACTCTGCAGATTGCCACTTGCACAAATTTGTTTGTTGTTCATAATAGATTAGCTTTTAGCTTTGGCACCCCGGGATTTTGCTTCTTAAAATCTGCGGAGCACGTTGTTTAGTATATAATTTACTTTCATGCTGCATGCAATAACGAATATTATAGATATACTTTCATTTGAATGCATGAGTTAATTAAAAACCCCATTTTTCAAGGTACCCAACTCATACCCGAGTGGCCCAGTATTACCGGTGTTACCGCTAGATGGATATCCACACTGGATGTTGCATAGGAGATACAGCATTTAAAATAACATATGTATTAATGCAGATTTAACTATTTTTATATCTTGGCTTGGCACCATAATGGTGATTTGATTCTCACTATGTGAGGGGTATTTTAGCTCATATATTACAGATGCGTCTGAATGGGTGGGTGGTTTTTATTGCAAGGTTTAAGTGTATAACGATAGTCTGAATCTTGCTGTGTAAGTTCAGCTCAACCTTGGTTCATGTAAACTACCTTAAACAATCAAGGGCGCATCTCCCAAATTTTGTCAGTTGTCAAAGATTCGGAACAAGCATTTGGTTGAATAGGAATGTCATAGATATAACCAAGAGATTATGACCAAATGTTGTATTGATAACTGTATCAGTTTCATAATAAAATGATGTATGTCTTGCATACAGATATTTGGTTAGACACCCATTAAAGGATAATATTTATCATAGTATGCTACATACTAGTTTCAGACAATTGTCTATACTATGTAAAGCCTACCCAGTTATGTAATTATGTGCTTCTCATTTTGTAATAATAATCACAGAAAAATGCTAGAAATGTCTATTATGTTTTGTAATTTGCCGCAAATATACTGCTACTACTGATATATTGACATGAGTTGGTGCATTATATGTGACACAAATGCATGTCAATTCATTTTGATTACAAAATTATTTAACCTCAGTGGCAGTTAACATTTAACTTTGTGGCAGTTTACAATGCAATTTGTTAGTAACAATTAATGGTTATAACATTTGTAACTACTACATACCTGACTCATCTGATGGTAAGATATGAAAGAAAACTCTCCCAAACTAAATACAAATATTATGTTTAGTTTCACAAAAAAATTTTTTTTTTAGTGTTTAGTTTTCTATAGAATTATTTTTTTATTTTTAGAAATCCTTTATTTTTTTGATATTGAAACATGTTATATTCAATTATTACCCGTGCTTCGAATTAAAATTTTATAGATAGTATACATTGATTTATCTAGTTTCTACCAACCACCAACTTTTTTACAAAGTTCTTATAGAGAATATATGAGGCAATGTTTGCATTGTAATTCAGTATACCTTATATAGCCAACTGTTGTGTGAATTTTAGGCCACTTGTTATGGGTCAATAAGTTGTTATTCATGTCAATGTTTTAGTAACTTTACAATAATACTGTAGTAGGCTTCCTGAAAACAGAGCCCAAGATGTTATTCCAATAAAGTACTTCCAATTTAGTTACCATTATATATTTTTCATTGCGGGAATCAAAGGATTTGTGCCAAGTTACATTTCCCTGCCTGCCTGTCTTTTTTTTGATATCTAAAAAAAAAACACTCATCAGATTTCAATGAAACTTTAATAGCACATGAAATGCTCTGGGATAATCCACAGACCTGATTGGTTTAGGGCTGAAAGCTATGCATATTAATTACCCAATTCACAATTTTCTGACATCAAAATAACCATTTATCAGATTAAAATTAAACTTGGTTCACAAGCACTCTGGAATAAACCAAACTGTTTATTATGACATACAATCAAATTTATTTTTGTGTTAACATTTCTTTAATAGTTTTCTGTTAGTATTATAAATTCCAACACTGTGACATTTCACATTGGGCATCTCAAAAGCAGAGTGGAGCTATACCTGATATTACGTCTTGTTCAAAAGGTTAATCTTACTTCTACTCCATAAGCCTCTAACACCTTTCATATAGCACATGGGCATTCTTTGACGCGTTCAATGATTGTTATTCATTTCATGAAGTGTTATTGATCTACCCGTAGGTATTTCAGTAATATTCTATGATCTCACAATTGAGTACTAGCATTTAAACATCATTTAAACATCTTGTTTGATTAAAGTTTACTTTTATTACAACATGAAAATCTAGTGTTTTTTTAAACTCAAAGTTTATACTGAACAAAACAATAATTGGTTCATTTTATCACAATTGTGTGTGAGTGAGCAGAAACACAAAACAAATCATGGAACACTGTTGTTTATTTGATCTCAAACCGATTTCATTCCACTAACACAGCACTCAGACAATGTGCTGGGGGAAGTCATGCACCATTGGAATGTAATAACCATAATTTCAATAGTTTCCCTGTAAGAACAGATTGTGTTTATACCTTCAAAATGCATATCGATATCTTGAGCGTGAACTTGAAGGATGATCTGATAAAAGTAAACCACCATCTACAAAATCGAGGGCTTCCTCTTTTAACCATGATCCATCAAATCCATTGTTCTTACAGATTTCCAGAAAAAGCTGAAAGTACTGTTTACCAGTAATGTCCCCAGTTAAAGTCTTTGAATCCAAGCCAAGGGAGGTCACCACATGTCCACATCCAGGTGCCCAATTTCTACAGCAAAAACGGGCACATGTTAGATCAGATTATAAAGAGCCAGCGACTTAATAACTAAGAGAGTTATTGGTGGAATATTCTGAAGGAAAGTGCACACTGTAACAGGACTATTTTGTGAATTTGTGATGAAAAGAGGGAACTGGTGGTAAAAAAGTTAATGACCACTTTTATCAAATTTTAGGTTTTTTAAATTCTTTTCAGAAATCTTAAGTAGCTTTAGGCAATAAACTTACTCAACAGCAGTCATCAAATGGGTAGATTTCTTACTCATAAACTGCTTTACCATAAAACACAACAGACCATAGTCAGTTCTACATAGATTGTAGCTGAAGAAATCCCTCCTTGGTGTAACTTTGATCAAATGAACATCCTGAAATTACAGAATTATTGATGACATTATCAGAATAGTAGCATACAACTATACACTGCAGTCAGTACATAACATAGCAAGTTAGGTTGGTGACACTCAATGGGTGATTCCTATCAATCAATCCAGTGTGGAACTGAAATTGCACGCTGGTAAACAACAATGACATAGATTCAGTGTCACTGCAACTGCATTAAAATCTGACTAACATAAGTCAAAATTTACCTTTTGCACAAATTCAAAGATGAAAATGTCACTTGATTTGTGTATGATGATGGCCAGCCATGATAAGCAGTCAGCTATTATGTCACGTGGTCACAAGCTATGATAAGCAGTCAGCTATTATGTCACATGGTCACAAGCTATGATAAGCAGTCAGCTATTATGTCACATGGTCACAAGCCATGACACTAGGTGACCAGCCATGATAAGCAGTCAGCTATTATGTCACTTGGTCACAAGCCACGACACTAGGTGACCAGCCATGATAAGCAGTCAGCTAATATGACACCTGGTGACCAGCCATGATAAGCATTCAGCTATTATGTCACCTGGTGACCAGCCATGATAAGCATTCAGCTATTATGTCACCTGGTGACCAGCCATGATAAGCATTCAGCTATTATGTCACCTGGTGACCAGCAATGATAAGCATTCAGCTATTATGTCACCTGGTGACCAGCCATGATAAACAGTCAACTATTATGTCACCTGGTGACCAGCCATGATAAACAGTCAACTATTATGTCACCTGGTGACCAGCCATGATAAGCATTCAGCTATTATGTCACCTGGTGACCAGCCATGATAAACAGTCAACTATTATGTCACATGGTCACAAGCCATGACACTAGGTGACCAGCCATGATAAGCAGTCAGCTATTATGTCACTTGGTCACAAGCCATGACACTAGGTGACCAGCCATGATAAGCAGTCAGCTAATATGACACCTGGTGACCAGCCATGATAAGCATTCAGCTATTTTGTCACCTGGTGACCAGCCATGATAAGCATTCAGCTATTATGTCACCTGGTGACCAGCCATGATAAGCATTCAGCTATTATGTCACCTGGTGACCAGCCATGATAAGCATTCAGCTATTATGTCACCTGGTGACCAGCAATGATAAGCATTCAGCTATTATGTCACCTGGTGACCAGCCATGATAAACAGTCAACTATTATGTCACCTGGTGACCAGCCATGATAAGCATTCAGCTATTATGTCACCTGGTGACCAGCCATGATAAGCATTCAGCTATTATGTCACCTGGTGACCAGCCATGATAAACAGTCAACTATTATGTCACCTGGTGACCAGCCATGATAAGCATACAGCTATTATGTCACCTGGTGACCAGCCATATAAAGCAGTCAACTATTATGTCACCTGGTGACCAGCCATGATACGCATTCAGCTATTATGTTACCCGGTGACCAGCCATGATACCCGGTGACCAGCCATGATAAGCAGTCAGCTATTATGTCATCTGGTGGTCAGCCATGATAAGCAGTCAGCTAATATGTCATCTGGTGGTCAGCCATGATAAGCAGTCAGCTATCATGTCATCTGGTGACCAGCCATGATAAGCAGTCAGCTATTATGTCATCTGGTGGTCAGCCATGATAAGCAGTCAGCTATTATGTCACCCAAAAAAGGTAACTGTAATACAGAAGATAAACAGTTGACACATGAAGCAATCAGAGATAAACTTACAGGTATTTGGGAAGGCTGTGTTGGGGGGTCCATACTCATTTTGGGGAAAGGATGAAATGAAGTCCTTGGTTCCTGAAAGAAGCATAGTTATTAAAAATCCATAAATGAGCATGTCATTGTAATTGACATAATCCCTGTCAATATTTTAAGTGCCTGACATTTTGAAATCATATGAAGTCACTGTGTAAGTATTTGGCTAAATTAAGAACTGAGAACACAAAATTATGTTGTGTATTTGTAATTTTGAACCAAATCTGTTAAGGCATGTTTGAGATATGCTTAAAGTCACATAAAAATAAAACCAACATTGTAATACCTCAACATGACACGTCACATCATGTAATACTACTAGAGGTAAAAATACTTACTGTATGTAATAACTCAACATGACACGTCATATCATGTATTACTGCTAGAGGTAAAAATACTTACTGTATGTAATAACTCAACATGACACGTCATATCATGTAATACTGCTAGAGGTAAAAATACTTACTGTATGTAACAACTCAACATGACACGTCATATCATGTAATACTGCTAGAGGTAAATATTGACTGCGATACTTCTGTTTTGGTGTGTGTGTTATAGCCTACAGACCAAAAAGAAATACAAATGTCACCTTCATTTTAGTCACTAGTTATGTACCACTCCACACTGCAGTAACTGTCTATTGTATGCCATTCATTCATTTAAAACTGGCCATTGAGATGCTTATAGAGTCCCCACAGACATTCACATAAACCTGACGAGGTAATGAAATATTACTAGATTAAGATTTAAACCATTTCCAAAACACTTATTTTTCTGGTGTTCTCTGGCATGGAGTGTCAGTGAGTAGTGCAAAACGTTGTCTTCACAAGTGTCATAAAAACCGAAAGCCACAAAAATTTCATTTCAAAAAAACAGTTTATACAGTATATTTCAACTATAATAATATATATACGATAATAAGAGTGGCAAACCAATGCATACTGTACACACCTACCGGTATTAAATATTACTGACATTATGTTCTTACCTTGTAATCTTTGTGACTGATAAGAAAATAATTCTCTATCCTTCCATATTGAAACCATGAAAATCTATTGACTAAGTTGAATATATTCCTCAAGAGTAAGGCTCTTTCATTGTATTTATTAGCTACCATATGTATCACTTTCACCACAGGATCTACAAACAGATGCATGATTAGTGTAAGACGATGCACATTCACAATCCATATGACCTGCACAATGTGAATTGGTTTAAAATGAGTACAGAGATCAAAAGGTTTGGTCCTATTCATGGGGATTCATTGCACATACTTTCTATTTTAACTATTACTTTTGAATGTGAATCTAATTGAAGAAATTCACATGAAAGCTCAACAAATTTACACAGGCAATATAATATTTGTTGTAACAGAAACAAAATTCAAATTCATAGACAATTTTTCAAGATAATTTTGCATTATATTAATTAGTTTCTGAAGTATTTAATTATAAACTGATTCATAACACTTGTGTATCAGATTTTATTTCAAAATGATTACAAAGAATCACTATCAAAATCAGTTACGTTTGCATAAAGATCCAATCTTCTGCCAGGTTCTGGTCCAATCTGATTAAAATTGAATTTTATTGGGCTTTCTTTCATTCTTTAATATTCTTCTAATTGTTCATTTTTAAATTTACTTTCTCACTATTTTTTAATTTTCTGACTGCAAATGCTCAAAGATCTTAACAAACTCTATAGGAGATATTGTTTGTGTGATAATTATATTAGTCAACCAATCAGAGAAGGCCTTGTATACAGTGATTATGCCATTTGTGGGAAAGTGGCAAAGTCCAACCATGGATGTATATAAAGCCTTCCATGACTGTTATTAAAGCTTGTGGGAGTTGAACAAGATCTCCCATGAAGGTTGTTCAAAAATAATTCTCACACACTTTAATAGCTTGTAAAAGCTTGGAATGCATAATATAAACATACCTGACTCCCATTCAGTCGGTTTAGCACCAATTATTTGAAATAAATCTATAGATGTTCTAGCAGGAGGAAAAACATCACCATCTCCAACAGGATCTAATCTATTAACATCAGCATAAACACACTGTAATCTATTAGGATATTGCTGACTTAGTTTTCCAATAAATGGCAGAAAATATTCTTGATTTTCAAGAGCTACAACACGTGGAGCACCAGATTTCAATAACTCTTCAGTTAAAATCCCTGGACCTAAAAATTCAACAAAAAAAAAGGTTTCCATCAAGTATGGTAAATTGTCATCAGAGCAATTTATCTTATTTTTGATTTAACTACATGGCGTAATGTTACATAATAATCTGAATCGTCTTATTCTAGATTGCTTAGCTACTGTAGAATACTTTATTTTCACTTGGAATTCATTTTTGCCATTTTCGCTGAAGGAATGATTGTGAAAATAAAATCCAGTAAATATAATTTGTTTCCTATTTTGCATTAAACTTGTCAAAAATCAGTGAAAATAAATTCCATACAAAATACGCAAAAAGTATTTCAGCGAAAATTAATTCCAGCTAAAATAAAGTATTTTACAGTATCCCACAATTATGGACATGACTATTAATCCCTGAATAATAACTTAGCAAGGTATGAAAATAAGACTTACCCGGACAGCAGTCAAGAATGAATGATTTTTCATGAGCCAAGGATCCATTTGGCCACATCTTGTCAACAAGTGTCCTTGCTAATTCCCTGTCCAACACATAAATTTGTTTGGCAAGTGGGCTTTTTTTTGGCCGTAGTAATGAATATTTTTTGAATAATTTTTCAGTGTCTTCTCTATCCTCAAATACAAACTCAATTTGCTTCTTTTTCCGTGCATAAGAAGCCATACACCTTTGTGGAATGGCATAATGTTGTGTAACACTGTTCAATACATATTTGTTGATTAATCCACCATTTAGAATAACTGTCCTCAAATGTCTACTTGGCAATTGTAGAGATAAGAAACGCAAGCCTGAATATTTTCCACATCTGCACACACTTTGGTTTGCATGTATTGTCCTCAGTGACATCTGACACAAAACACCACTCATAGTTACAGTTGAGATGGAGCCTAAAGAAAGCAAAAAAAAAGAACCAGAATAATACTAGTAGGATACATTATAACATGTATGAAGTAATTTTTTTTTACTTGTGTGCTATGCATTTGCAATCCATGTACATGTAGATTTTCTAAAAAGCCAACCCACCAAAAGTTAAAGGGCAGTGGTCATCGTGCAGTGTTCTGCTCAATATGGGACTCATAGAGATGTACAGAACATGTCATGTGTAAAATACATTTGTTTACATGCACCACCCTTTAAAATCTTAAATGTGTTAAAAACCATCCAAGATACAATGTCAAAGACACCATAGGTGATAAAAATAACTGAATACATGATGAGAACATAGAAATACTACAATTGTTTAGTATCAAGAAACATAGCTAGATAAACATTGAAACTGGATGAGGAAGAGCACGAGACTATATGGAATCAAGGTCGATAATCATTAGCCTACAACCCCTTTGCACAATGAAAAATATTAACAATAACTTGGAGTTTATGTGTGAGTGGTATAACTTATCTTGGTATATTCAAACATAGGAATATTTTGCATCAGGTGTTCAAATGTTTTGGAAATCAAAAAAAATGTTAAATAAAGGAATAATGTGGAAAAAAACAAATAACTTATGGCCCTTGCATGCACCATCACCACTGAAATTTCTAACAAGTGACGTATACTACATGTATTCCTGGAACAATCAGATTAAGCCATTCAGAATCTATAGGTCCTAATTTTGCATAATATGCAGATAACATAAAATTGATGCTTCTGTCATTAATTACTATTTTCTGCGCAAACTTTTGTTGTTCAATATTTTGCGATGTCCTGGGATGACTCAGTGTAGCACTCGCACAGTTGGATCTGCCAAAAAAACTACACAGGACTATTCAACGCATATGGCAGTAACAATATTTTGTGTCAAAATCTGTCTATAACTAAATTCTCTGTCAATCTGTTTTCGAGAAAACTCTTTCGGTAGAGATGCAGGTTCGTGGTCACTTGGGAGTGAATTTTTTTTTTTTGCTTTTTATTATTCAAACAGTCTTGGCTATAGACTGTTAAAATTGTGTAGAATTGTGAATAGTGAACATACTCAAAAAACGATTTTAAAATATAGATAACAGGTGCAAACATTCTCTCTTTTGAATGCTTTGCAAGATTTAGCAAGGCTGTACATAAATAATAAAAAAGAAACATGGTGAAAAAAAGAAATTACGGGATCTCCATATTATGCACTATATTTAACTTTATACAAAATGATAATACATTTAAATTTGGAACTGTTACAGTCATTTTAATTATGAGCATTAGCAAACTTCTTACTGAGTGAATTGTTATGCAAATTAGCAGTTATCTCAGCTTCTTTTTAGTGCACATCCCAGAACTTTAAAAAAAAGTTTTCAAGACGGCACTTTTTTCATAGTAAACAGATGTACCCATATACCAATTTTGACAGGAAACAGAAGCATGGTTTAGAAGCTAATTTTTTTTAAATCACTTTTGACCAAAAAAGCACATTTTTGTGCATATTTCAAACTACAGTGTCCATAAAAAAAATACAAAACAAAATATTAAAATTCATACAATAAGCTTTCCGAAAATATATAGTTTTGTGGACAAGGGAGGTCATCTTGGTTTCCTAATTAGCTAATTAAAATACCTGTCAGGTAAACTGCATCTCTTCTTTAAATATTATATATACATAAAATGACAATTTATCAGCGGTTTCCATAGACTCCAATGAAAACACATATTGTCATTAAAAACCCACCAAATATCAATTTTGAGTTTAAAGGGACACTTTAAGTTAAGCCTAATCTCACAAAAAATTTACTTTTTGGATTAAAATGACAATGGATAACAAAAGATAGATTAACTTTGTAAACAACATAAACAATAGTGTCCCATGATTCTTTGGTGCAATCCCTGGGATTGGAAGTTTCCCCTTTAAGATTACACATGAACACATGTCATCAATTTTTGAGATACTGAAATAAATGCATATCCTAGCATATTAGAAAACATAATACTAATAGGCTCTAAAACCGACAAAACATATTTTGTACATTATTGAATTGAGTAGTATGACATAATTTTATCTTAATCCAAACAAAACTGAATGTCATATTATGTAAAGTAAAGCATTACTAGTTGATTGTTCGATACGACTTGCATTTCATAGCAACCAACTTGTTTTAGGTCATTATCAAAAGCCAAGATCTGTCTTACCATTTGAATTTGTTGTTGAATTCAGTATATTTTTATTTTGGGCAACACTAGTAACTTTCAAGCAGTGTCAACAACTTGTTCCACTTTCCGGACATGAACTCTTTGATGTTTATAGCGGCACCGCAAACACTAGCACGAGTCTTCATACTCAGAGTTCGGTCTTCATAGTTACTGTTACGTAATATAGCTGCCCATTTACAGAAGACGTTTGTTTTGTCTCACAACGGGTAATTTCGGCACACACAGACGCTGACGGCTTGTAATTTGGAGGTTGTGATACATGAAACTTTGAGTACGTACATTACAGGAGATCGTCACGATCGTGACGGTGATTTAAATTCGGGACTCGAGCGATCAGCGAGACGAAGGGCGATTCTCGATCGTAATGCACTTCGTTATACCAACGTGAAATGAAATAATAACTCACCAAATAAAGTGATGGGACAGTAGCATGTATCCTGTCGTAATAATCTTTAACAAATCAAAATGTGCATCTTTACGATATGCACACGATTACGAACACATGTAGCCATTATCTCGTTGCTCTATATTAATCTCGCGAGAGTTGAAGGACTGCTTTTAGACAATTCTAGGGAGTCCTAACAGGCTAGTGTCAGGCCTCAAACCACCAATTAGATTTGCAGAGAGTTTTTGGATAAATTATTATTTGACACATACTTAGTATATTTACCAACATCTAGTTTTTGGGATCAGCAGTGTAAAATTAATTCTCTGAAGTAATTTCTTTTTCAAATTTTCGTACATATCTTAAAATTACCCCCCGATATACATGAACATGCTAGTTACACCAAAATTGAACTTGGATATTTTATGGTGATTGATAAGTTTGCAAAGTGTGCAAAGATAAAAATTGACTTGCTGTAATCACATGAAGAGAACAATTAATTAGTTAATTTTTACAAATATCTTGCAAGATATGCCAAAATTGACCTAGGCCTTAAAAATAGATTGGATATAAACTAACTGCAGTCAACAATGAGGACATACCTTGCTTGGTTTATACGAGAAGGAAAAAAAACTCCAGAAATTATTCATTTTGGAATAAATTGTATTTCAGCCAATGCAAAGGTATTACTTGGGGGAAAAAGGTTAGGAGCCACTAGCTTATTTTTGATGTGTATATTAGTAAATGGAAGTCATTCTGTTAGTACATGTATTGCAACGGTTTTATCATTGAAGACTACGCGTCACACAAAAAATTATAGGTTACACGGTACAATTTATACAAGTCTGAAATTTTCTCTTTTGTTGCCTGCATAGAAAGTTGTTTTACACCAGACAGCAGACGCGACTTCTCAATAGCTTGACAATAAGACATTTTTATTGATTCTCTGTTGTATACATGTGTGCTAATGTTCAGAACACGTGTCAAATCTAGATTCTTGTCCTCTTATTAAAAGAAAATATTATTATTAAAGTGCCTGGTATTGCAAAGCCTAGTATTGTTGAAAATACTTTGGCGACATAAAAAGAACAAAAAAAACAGCAGTATTAAGTTTATTTATGTTTTTATTAATAAGAAATACAAGACAACAGTTTTGAAACTTAAAATGTAACAAAGTGAAGATAGCTTCAATACAATGGATTCAAACAAGCTAAATATGATATAAATTATTTATAAACCGAAATATTTATATGATAGCTGTGTTGAATTGAAAACAGTATGCGAGATGGAAGTATCGCTCTATCACAAATTGTCACAGGCTGTCTGATTAACACATCACCTACTAAAAGCCTCCAAGAGTAGCTAATATGAATGGTATATAATGGTGACAACAGTAGTGTGTTCATGCCTCTAAGCCAATCAAATAATCTGATTTAAGCATTAATTGCTTTAGAATAAATTTCGGCACATAAAAATTAAACATAAATGTGTTGAATCCTAATAATTACTGGTGTAAGTATATTTAAATGTACACAACACTGAAATGTGTATTCCACCCTACCCCAACCTCTACATGTATCCTACACCCTACTGTACATAACTACATCCACCATCTTTATGGTGAACCATCCCATAACTTCCACCTCTACATGTACTCCACCCCGCACATGCTTTCAACAAAAAGTTAACAAAACAATTGCAGGTAACTGTATAAAAATTATTACAAAATTACTGTGTATACTCCTGATACTATGAATTTATTTCAAGAATAACACAAAATACACATGAAGATGTTTATCATATCGACAGACAGGTAGTATATTTAATGTATACTGAACACCCTCAGTGATATCCTGATTTTTTTCCTCCTTGTAGTCTTAATTTTACAAGCAAAATCACATTTTACATGATTTGAACAATTGCAATAGCATGCTACACTGTTGCGGCATAAATGTGATGCAAATTTTCCAAATAAGGAAGACCTCGTCAACACATTCATACACGACTCGACAACAATTTATAAGATAGATATATGCTAGTGGAATGATATGCAATGAAGATATCACATGAATTGAAGAGTCACGCATATTGACAGATGATCACAAAATTGCATGAAAAACATCTGTACTTGTGTTCATCTCAGGCTGTTTTGCATATTCACAAAGCATGAATTTGTGATGTATTGCATTTTTAATACAGCAATAATCACACTTATTTATAGTTACTCAATCAAACCTTTCCAAGCATTCACTGAAATCTCTCTGAAAATGTGTTTGACTGTCGCGCACAAAAATCAAAATCACACAGAATGAATCTTATAAATCCTCGGTCCCAAACACGTGTATAGAGTTTATACAGCCAGATATATAATATTGACTCTTTAACAAATCTAAACTATTGGTTTGTGATCAAATCAAAGAAACACAATATTCTGATTCACACTTGCATAAATTACACAACTGCATACTGTTCATACAAAAGTTCTCGTATTTTAAAATAGTCTTCACAAAGGGAGCCTTCCAATAAAATTAGTCCAGCTTCGCTCTGAAAAAAAAAGAAGATTAATTGAGGTCTCCATTGTAGAAAAGCAAAAATCTTTTCACCATGTACATGATGAATGTGTCCAATATCGCATTAAGTTGTCTCAAGTGGCACCTAGCGTCATGAGAATTATTTGCAATATTTTAGGTGCAAAACATTAAATTTAACAGAAAAACTTATTTAACATATTTAGGACATTTTGAAAAAATACAATTAAATCACTGATGTCCAGTGAGCATGTGAAACACTATGTTATTGAAAATGATGCTTTAAACATAGCATTTAGATAATAACCACTAGATAGAAATCATTTACTTTATTTAGTTATAAAAGATATTACAGAGAATTGCTTCATTATAGCTGCAAGTAATTTTCTCTAAAAATATTTTAAATCACTACTGTTGTCAGAACTTCACATGTGCACAGGGAGGGCTCACACAACCAATGTTGATGGTGAACAGTTTTTAGAGATCTTGTATAGCCAGTCGGCATTTAAAAGCGAGCTGTAAATTCTAACAATTACGCGTTGTGCTTGGTTGTAGGTTTTTTATGTTTTGAAATGTGTACAATTTATAATGCAGAGGTGTGTTAAGTCTTGGTATATGGAGAGAGTGCGCATGCGTGAGTAGTAGAAACATCGGTACCGATCTGCTCCACCAAAATAAGAAAAAATCTATCGAAAACCTCATCAACCAGAAAAATGTAATACACCATGGCAAGTAATAAGACCAGCTACAGAACAAAGATAGAAGAGTAGACCAAATGATATCAGGATCGACCAGAAATACAAGGCGAACAACACCGGACCGAGGAGAGGAACAAGATGGCGGTACGGAAAGCGGCAATAGCCAGCAAGATCTTAAAACACTCGTGAACCTGCCTACAGAACAAAAAATAACGATAATCCTAAAGAAAATCTTCGAAATAAAGTCTGATGTCGAGCAGATCGCACCATTAACTAAGAAAATAGAAGAGATGGAAGGAAGAGTGAAAGATATAGAAACATCGATCGAAAATGTCTACGAGAAAATGGAAGAAATTACGAAAGACACAGCCACCAAACATGAATTGACTGAATTAGAAGAAAAACTACGAGAAGCCGAAAAAGAAATAGAAAGACTAAAATGGAAACAAGACGATCAAGAAAATAGAGGAAGACGGATGAATATTAATTTCAGAAACATACCAGAGGGGTCAGAACAAGGAAGCAAGGGATGTATAGAATTTATACGAACATTTATGGAACAACACATGGGGTTAGAATCAGTAAAGAACATAGCGCTACAGAGGCGCACAGAGACCCGCCATTTTTGAACCCGTCGAAGGGAAAAACACAA